CTATTGTCATGGGTTTATACTTTTCTTCCAAATGTGATGGACGTGATTTAGATTTTACAATTTTCGTTTGTCATATTTTTTTCGGGAATTTCCGTTTTGTACCGTACCGTACTTGTTCCATCCCAAATTGTATATGGGACATGAATGGGACAAGTATTTTGATTCCCGAATTTCCGTCCTATTCTCATTCCCGAACATTTTCGTTCCAAATTCCTATTTGCCCACCCCTAAATAATTATGTAACAAAAGGGTATAATTCTAAAAAAAGTAGAATCAAGGGTCATCTGATAATGCAAGTAAAAACGGACATTGTTTTGAATGTATTGAGGTTTAGTTGGTCTAATTATTATTTTGTATACTAGGACTCGAACCCCGGTGATCTCGCGGGGAAAAAAGGTTATTTGTTAAAAAAAAAATTAAAATTGTATTTAATATGATGATAAATAAGTATACAGTGTAAATGTAAAAATATTTTTTAATGGTAGAAATAAAAAGATGAAAAAGTATTTGTAAACGCACAACACTACAAACTATTTTTTAGAACAATGGAAAATTTGTTATAAATGAAAAAATCAAAATATTATGAGAATGTGGCGCAACCATATAATAAATTAACAACAATAAACGAGTTTTTCAAAGAAGACACAACTATATGATTAATTAATAACTATAAAACCGTTTTCTCGAATAGAGGCAACCGGATAAGATTCATTAATAACTATTAAAACATTTTTTTTAAATACGCAACACTAAAATACATTAATAACCATCAAATGGTTTATTCTCGAAAAGACAACCATATAATGTATTATATTTAGAAAACATTTTTTTTAAAGATGCAACTTTATGATGTATTAATAACTATAAAATACTTTTTACAAAAAAATGTAACCATATGAAACATAATAATAATAAAACAGTTTTTTGAAAATGTAATTTTACATAGACCAATTTTTTTAAAAGACGCAATCCAACGATACATTAATAACCATTAAACAAAATTTCTAGAAAATATGCAATCATAAGATGAATTAATAACAACAAAACAATAACTATTCAGAAATACAACCTTAGAATGCATTAATAACTATAAAACGAGTTTTCAAAAAGAAGCAATCATAAGAGACATTAATAACTAAAAATAATTTTTTGAAAAGACACAAACCTAAGACACTAATAACCACAAATTTTTTTTAGAAGACGAAACCCTAACATTAATAACCTAAAATGTAAACTATCAAAAAGTTTTTCGAGAAGATACATCTTTACATAAACCAATTTTTTTCTGAAAAAACGCAACCCTAGGATGTTTTAATAACCATAAAACCAAATTTCTCGAAAAAAACGCAATCCTAAGATGTATTAATAACCACAAAATAGTTTTTACTGAGAAGACGTAATCAAATTATGTATTAATAGCTATAAAACGGTTTATTTAGAAAGCCACAGTTCTCAAGGACAATGCTAACAAAAAAAAATCTAAAAGACACAACGCTTAGAGATTAATAACCAAAAATCATTTTTTTCGAAAACCCAATCCTAAGAAATATTAATAACCGTAAAACAATTTTTTTTAAAAGACGCAACCTCAGAGACATTAATAACCATAAAACGTTTACATTTTTTTTCAAAAATGTGTAACCTAAAAGACACTAATAACCATAAATTTTTTTTTTTAAAAAGACATAATCCTAGCGTTAATAACCATAAAATGGTTATTTTTTAAAAGAAACAATCCCAAAATATATTTTTCTGGATTGCTATTATTGATAGACGTTTCTAAAATTATTATTTAAATAAAGAAACAAAATATTGTGAGACTCTAAAATAATTTTTGACGTTTTTTTACCACATTGAGTGGATTTTAAAGTTAGTAATCATAAATGAAAAAACACAAATATATAGAGATTGAAAAACACAAATCTATATAGCAATGGTTTTTTAAAAGATGCAACCATAGAGATTTAAAACCATAAAACGTTTTTTTCGAAATGGCGCAATCCTAAAAGACACTAATAACCGTAAATAGAATATCTTGAAAAGATGCAACCCTAGCATTAAAAACCATAAATATATGTCAAACGGTCTTTTTCCGAAAAAATGCAACCCTTGAAAATAACCATAAAATGATTATACTGAAAATACATAATTTTTGAAAATCGGTTATTTTTGAAAGGACACAACCACAAAACAGTTATCTTAAAAATGCGCAGCCCTTAGAAATAACGATAAAGTGGTTATATTGAAAAACCGCAATTTTTGGAAATAACCATAAAAATATTATTTTCGAAAAAATACAACCATAAAGCGGTTATCTACATATTAAATGCAACCTTTGGAAATAATTAGAAAGCAGTTATGTCAAAAAGACGCAATCCTTGGAAATAACCATAACACGGTTTTTTCCTAAAGGACACAATCTTAAATAACCATAAAGCGGTTATATAAAAAAAGGCAACTTTTGAAAAAAGGTTATACAAAAAAAAGATAACTCTTAGAATTAATTATAAAGCGGTTATATTGAATAAACGCAATCTTTCAAAATACCAATAAACGATTTTTTCTGAAATGACACAATTTTTTGAAATAACTATAAAGCGGTTATTTTTGAAATAACACAACCATAAAGTGGTTATCTATATAGTAGATGTAACCTTTGAAAACAACCATTATACGGTTATATCGAAAAAACGCAACTCTTAAAAAAACGGTTATATAAAAAAGACGCATCCCTTGGAAATAACCATTAAATGGTTATTTTCGAAAAGACATAACCTTAAATAACCATAAAGCGGTTATATCAAAAATGGAACTCTTGTAAAATCGGTTATATGGTAAAAACGCAATCCTTGGCAAAAAAACGTTTTTCCTTCCTCACTAATTTCACGGATTGGAACCATAGCTATTCGTCTCAACAATAGAATAATTCATGGATTTTTACGTCATTTAAATTGATTCATTTTTAATTTAGAATTTTTAAATCATCCAATACATATAAAAAATAGCTGATAACCAAATTGCTTGTGGGTGCCTCTATTCTGTAGTAATGTTAACGCGGCTTCAATATGTCGATGTATACAACCCGTAAAAACTTCTTTCAAATATAAAGAATCAATGTTTCCGTAGAGAATTGTTAGATTTTATTAGTTTTCTTTATATGTAAAATTTGCTATAAAATCTACATTGTCCAAAAAAATCCAAAATTATGTACACAAATCAAGAATTTTTGAAACTTTTACAATACTAAAAATGTTTAATATTTTTAAATAATTTGAAAATAATCGAATGACTCTTTTTTATCTTTGTTATGTGTTAAGTTAATTACAGAAACAGTAGGCATGATTAAAAAAATGTTCAACGAGATAAAAAGTGAAAAGATACGCTCCCTCCATTTCAAATTATAAGTTGTTTTAGTTAAAATCGCGAATATTAATAAACTACTTTTTAATATATATATAATACAAATAATTTACCAAATATAAAAAAAGACTACAGAATATTATTAGTCACACAATATTCAATAAAGTTTAAAAAGTACATAAGATTGTCAAAACAACTTATATTTTGAAATAAAAAAACCTTTCCAAAACAACTTATATTTTGAAACGGAGGGAGTATATATATATAAGCGAAACAGTTTGTTTTGAAAAGACTCAACCTTTAAAAATAACCATAAAGCGGTTATATCGAAAAGACGCAACTCTTGGCAAAACGGTTATAATAGGAAAGCGTAACTTTTAACAAAAAAAATAATATCGAGATGATGCCATTTTTAGAAATAACCACCAAATGATTTTTTTTTTACGAAAAGACACAACCTTTCGAAAAGATGCAACCCTTAAAAACAACCATTATATATAAACCTAGAAGTTACACCCCAAAAATATTTATTTTTTTGGATTTGCTAGATATGTGCAGAATATAAAGAATTAGTTTTGCCTTTTCGGAGACAACGTTAAAGAACTGATAAAGAAGATTACAAATTAATGACTTGATTAATTAATACTAAAGTAGATAGTAAATCAATGACCGAATCCTGGTTTGAAAACATAAAAAAAGTGTAAAAATATTATAGTATTCATAAAAAAGGTGAATTTCATTAGCAAAAAAAAAAAACATCAAAAGGTGGAAAAAATAGTATTTCATTCATGCTTTAAAGTTCAAAGTTTGAACATTGAACATCATGTATAGAGTGTTAGATCCTTTGTGTATTAATTAGAGAGTCATTTGTCAGAAAATATTTACGTGATATCTCTACAATCACTTTCAATTGTGATATGGTAATTTTGAATCAATAATAAAATCTTCTATAACTAAATTTATAATTGTTACTATGATTAAATCAAAAAAGTTTTTAATCAATATATTATCAAATTTTCGTTTTTATTCTAAAATTATATAAAAATTTGGTTTCTCATTTAAAAATAATTTAAAAATTGATTATTGTAATAATAAAATGGCG